GTAGTAGTAGTAGTAGTAGGTAGTTAGTAGTAGTTAGTAGTAGTAGTAGTAGTAGTAGTAGTAGTAGTAGTAGAGTAGTAGTAGAGTAGTAGTAGAGTAGTAGTAGTAGAGTAGTAGTAGTAGTAGTAGTAGTAGTAGTAGTAGTAGTAGTAGTAGTTAATTACTATTTTCATTATTAGTAATAGTAGTAGTAGTAGTAGTAGTAGTAGTAGTAGTGGTAGTAGTAGTAGTAGTTGCTATTATCATTATTAGTAATAGTGGTAGTAGTAGTAGTAGTAGTAGTAGTAGTAGTAGTAGTAATAGTAGTAGTAGTAGTAGTAGTAGGTAATGGTAGTAGCAGTAGCAGTAGTAGTAGTAGTAGTAGTAGTAGTAGTAGTAGTAGGAGTGGTAGTAGTAGTAGTACTAACAATGATTATTATTGCTGGTGCTACCAAGCACTAGTAACACTAGTGATCGCGGTAAACCATCACAACAGATAAAACTTCCTGTGGTTTCCGTAGCTGTTCATGCCTTGCCCAGGATGGCGACCTTGACGAAGCCCTCGGATACAACTCTCATAAAATTAGATGGCACGACTCAGGTTTAGCTTCAGGAAAAAGCGCGCTTAGGGCTGAGGGTGTTAGGAAGTTGGCATGTCTTGGCCGCAGTAATTATGGGGTTCAGGGTGAAAGGTTTATGGCTAAGGGTATGTTTCTGGTTGTGTTCAGCTTGGGGGTTTTGGCTAGCGTGACATTCGGCTCATTGAACTGTAGTGGATACCCTAGGGCCATTGTGAGATCCAAGAAGGCTCCATGAAAAGCGGCCGAAGGGGACTTGACTAGTATAGGTACCTGAACACTTACACCACATCTTTGGGGTTTAGGTCGCCATGCTGAACGACTTTTCAGAGTTCTATACTATACCCTATACCCTAAACCCTAAGCCCTAAACCCTTCTATACGGCCGACTGCAGATGACCTTGATCAGTGATGACTCCGGAATGCAGAGCCGCGATGTTCTCTACCAGGCTCCAAAATCATACAGCACTGCTTGGCGGATCATGGGACTTAGCAAGAAAGGTTATAAGTACCGTAATTAGTAGGCTTATAAGGTGTTTTAGGTAATAAAAAAGACAGGTACCGTATTCACAACCCTGTTTACGAAGCTGCAGCAACCTTTAAATGAAGGATTTTGAGGTTTAGAGTTTGGAAGTTGCGGCGGAGCACTCCAACTCTGGAATGCAATGGAACAGAACATCTGTTCATGAGGAATTTGAGATCGGTAAACCCTAAACCCTAAACTCTAATAAGCGCTGAATGCACCGGGGCACCAGGGGCAACAGCAGGCTGTCGATGGCCATAGACGTACGACGGCTCGTCTCGATTACGATGCAGCGGATGTCCCAAGCCTCTCAGTCTCTAAGCCGGGCTTAAAGCCTTAATAGAGTGGTTCTCTAAGGCTTCCTCTACAGGGTTCTATAAAGGCTAGGGGGTCTGAGGATAGGGGATTCAGAACTTAGAATAGGGCCTTTGGAGGCAGGTCGAAGGCGGGTCTAAAAGCCTTAGGCTGTAAGTTGCGGGCTCACGGTTTAGGGTCTAGGAGTCTAGGGTTTGGGAAGCAATATAGAGGCAATGCGTAAGATTTATACTTGAAATAACCCTGAACCCTAAACCCATAATATGTTGAGGAACCAACCCTAAACCCTAAACCCTAAACCTACTAGTTACCAACGATTCAGACCCTTCCTTTTAGAACAGGATGTCTCCCAGCCCTGTGCTGCAAAGCTCCGTGAAACGATTCTAGGGTTTGGGTTCAGGGCTTTAGGGTTTTAGAGCCTAGGCTTTAGGGTTTACGGTTTTAGATTTTAGGGTTTTAGGGTTTAGGGTTTTAGAGTTTCGGGTTTAGGGTTCAGGGTTTAGGGTTCCTTCAAACCCTGAACAAACCTTTATACAAAACCACCACGACACTCTGTAAAGCCTTGCAAACCCCTCACGAACACGATGCAGAGCCCTGAAAACCCTGAAGCCTCAGAACCCTCAAACCAACCTTGAAAAATCCTTAGACACCTGAAAAAGAGTTATAGGGAAGCCTGAAAAAGCTTGAATGGAGCCTGTCGGCGAGCCTACTTACAAGAACCTAAACACTCAACCCTGTACAGAACCCCCTAAAAATCTGAACCTCGGGACAAGGAAGCCCTGTCACGAAAGATATTGAAACCCTTTAAAAAGCTCTAAGGAAGCCTATATACCCCTAAAGCTCCGAAGCCCTAGGCCCTTTCAGGCAACCTTAAAAGAAGCCCTGTAACTAGAAGAAACCCTGCACCCTTGCAGATCCCTTTCTACCGGAACCCTTCAAAGAAACCCTCAAATATCAATCAAAGCAACCCTGCAAAAGAAACAATAAACCCTAAGACCTAAACCCTAAGTCCAACCTCAAAGGGGAAGTCAGCGAAGATCTCGAGCTCCGCACCTTCCGCGTCCACGGAGAGGAGGTCGATCCTCCACTCGCGTTTTAGGATTTAGGGGTTTTGGTTAGGGCTCCTTTTGGTGTTCCTTTGAAGGCCTTCTTGAAGGGATCTATAAGATTTAAGCACTTAGAGATTTTAGGTTAAGAGAGTTAGGGCTTGGCTTAAGGTTTAGGGATTTAAGGGCTTAAGGTTTAGTTTAGAGCTTGGGGATTTAGGGACTTGGGGTTTAGTTTAGGGTTTATGGATTTAGGGTTTAGTTTAAGGCTCGGAGGTTTGGCGTCTGGTTAAAGGGGCAAGGTACTACTACCCGGGCTTCAATAGTATAGGATTCCTTTCAAGGTAAGGGTTCTATGAGGGCGTTAGGGACTTTGGATTTGTTTTTCGGATTTAGGTTTTGGGGGTCAGTTCAAGCTCCAGTTGAAATTAAGACCCGGCCGGAACAAAGGTGTCTCTGGAATTATCGTTGTGGTGCTGCTACGCGGTAGAAAACACATGGTAAGACAACAAATGTAGGCTGATTTGGGGCTTGTGACATTAGGGTATCAGGTGTGAGGTGAGAGTTAGGGTTTACGGAGTTTGAATTTGTCGGATCTAGGGTGTTTAGCGTGTGCTTTTAGATCGGTTTGGTTTCATAGGACCCTGACACAACCACTGTTACAGGATTTACAGGGAACACGTACAACAAGTAAGCTTCTGATCTCTTGTCATATATATATATATATATAATTTTAATATATATATATATATATATTATATATATATATATAGAATGTGCATATATTGTTGAGCAAGCACCTCAACAAGCATGCACGCGATAAGACCTCCCACTTGCACCCGAGCAAAATGACCCTAAACCCCCAAAGTCTATGCCCCATAAACTCTTCCAGCTGAACAGCCTGTTGCTACAGCTCACACTAATCCACTACACGACCTGATACAACCCTCTAGTACCTCGCCAAGAGGCTTCCCCACAAATCTCTTCTAGGGCCTTCGACGAGACCTGTGTCACAGGACCTTTGTCTCATAACAGCCTGATTGCATTGCAGCATATGATAAAAAAGACAATAATTAGACTAGACTCTCTGAAAGACCCCATGGTCAACAAGAAGCTACGCTGGCCAGAGTTCACGGGAATCCCTACGTTACAAGCAATCGCCAGGAACACAAACGTGAACCTTACTTCCAGTCCGAAACCCCAAACCCTGAAACCAGAATCTTTTCAGCAATCCTTCTTTAACGCTCAACTATCATAAATCCTGGAAACACAGACAACTAAACTCTAAACTCCAAACTCTACAGCAGACTTGAACCCCAAAACTCTCCGTATAGAGCCCTTAAAGAAGACTTATAGAAAGCTTGTATTAAAGAACCCTTTAAAATCCCAGACTCTAAGCCTTAAACTCTAAATCCTAATCCCTAAACCCTAAAACCCCTAATCCCAATAGATCCCTTAAAGGAACCCGAAACAAAAGCTCTGAAAGACCTCGGCTTCCACTCACCGGAAGCGGCCGCATGGACTTCCTCACGGTTCAACGTTCCTCTAAGGGTTTCTTGAACGGTTTCGTTAAATTTCTAGGGTTAAAGTTTAGGGGCTTAGGGGTGGGGGGATTAGGGTTTGAAATGATGTCGGTCTGTGTAAGACCTATGAACGAACAAACAAATGGGCTATAGGGTTTATATATGGTTCACTTTTTGTAAGCATTAGGGTTTACCCTAAGGGTCCATATACCCACAGAGTATATACTTTGGCCTTAATAAATGTAGTCCCTATATAGGTGCTTTAGGTCCAATGTCTATACTATTTGGGCACATGGACCCTTAGGTTTTTAGAGCTGAGGATGGCTTATGTCGCCATTTGGAAGCACTGGGACTGGAGGCTTAGCGTTCAGGGTTTGTAGCGACTCCGGTTACTATTCAGCACCGTGGTTACTAAAGTACGTCTCATGACCCTTCAAGTAAAAGTCCAAAGCGACCCAAGGCCAAACATTCCTGTCCAAAAGTAGATGTTTAGTAGGTACCAGAAACTGTGAGCATAACCATAGTCATACGCGTGAAATAGAGAGAATCCCGTTCTCCGCAATCCTCAACCCAGGTTCCAAAACTTCCAGTGTTTTTCGTGACCTATAAATTTACAGGCCCCGCAGAAACCATCTGGGGACATGAGAAACCTGAAAAAAGGTCCATTAATCTCTAAACCCTAAAAACCCTAAGGCCCTAAACAACCCTAAACCCGAAGCCTAAGCCCCAAAAAAACGAATGCCCTAAACAACCCTAAACTACAATTTGCACTAGAGGTAAACCCAAAAAAAACCCACAGACCCTACCTAGGCCCTAAAGAGCCTACCTTTTTATGGACTTGTAGAAGGAAATCATAATAAGGAGCCCTAAAAAGGGGGTTTGGGGTTTAGGGTTTAGGGTTTAGGGTTTAGGGTTTCTTTAGAGTCCAGGTAGACATTCCTAAACCCTAAACCTTGAGCCGCAAGGAGTCCTCGGGCTTCAAGATGTGTACCAAGCCTTTCGGGCTTTTAGGCTTTAGGGTTTAGGGCTTAGGGGAATCTGTTCAGGGTTTAGGGTTCAGAGTTTAGGGTTTAGGGTTTAGGGCTTATAGGGTTTAGGGTTTAGGGCTTAGGGGAGCCCGTTCAGGGTTTAGGGTTCAGGGTATAGGGTTCAGGGTTTAGGGTTCAGGGTTTAGGGTCTCAGGTCATTCGTCAATAAAGTCTTCTTAAGCTCAAGAAGAGAAATATACAATTTCCCAAAGGCCTACATAGTCTGTATAGCTTACGTGAGCAGTTGTATATAGCTTACGTGAGCAAGTGGTGTAGAAAATCATGCAGTTCATACGATGTATAACACAGTTTGGGAATTACATTAAACAGGGTTTTCTCTTTTCATATTAAATGTCCTGCAACAGTTTCCCTTCGGGTTGAAGATTCTGCATGTAGGAAATCAGGGTGCAGGGTTGAGCACCTACACACATCCCGAGCCTGAGTTTTGGCGCATGCTGCAAGTGTCTGGTCACGGTCTAGGGATTAGGGTTTAGGGTTGCAAGGCTGCGGTTTCTGGCGATATTGTTTATCACCGTATGGTTAAGGCTGGGTGCTCGGGAACCTTCCACCCTACAGCGAAAAGCGCAAGTCAGGGAGCCTCAGACAAATCGAAGTCGTTAACACCATAGCGACGGACATGCCTAGATTTCTAGGGCTTGCACGTCAGGGACTTGGGTGCTTCTGAAACCACTCTGAGACAGACAAACATACGACTACTGTGGAATGTGGTTCCGCCCCCGAAGGCCTAGGATTTTGGGTCTTCAGTTTTTGGACAGCACCTAAGCAAAAAATAGGATAGGGATATCCCATATAAACCCCCGTATAATGAAGCCCAACATAGGCAGGGATATCCCTATAAAGTGCTTATGCTTGTGTCCTTTCGGGGTTCCTAAGTTTAGGGTTCAAGGTTTTGGGCCTACCCCAGCTTTACGGCTAGGGTTTAGGGGTTTAGGGTTTAGGGTTTTGGGGTTTAGGGTTTGGGGTTTAGGGTTTAGGGTTTAGGCCTGATGTAGTAGCAACTAGCTTCCCCCTGAAATCACCGAGGGCCGAGGAAGCCAGCTATCAGAAACTAGTAGGGCTCAGGGCTTCAGATTGAAAAACCAAGGCTTGGGAAATCATCCTAGTATCCTAAACCCTAAACCCTAAACCCTAAACCCTAAACCCTAACCTCAGTGCCCAACAAAAGTCTGAGTGGGCACTTTGGAAAACCCTAAGGGCCCATGTACCCAAATAGTATATACATTGGCCCTAACGTAACTATATAGGGACTACAATAAGGCCAAAGTATATACTATTTGGGTACATGGGTTTAGAAAACCCTCAACCCTAAGCCCTAAACCCTAAACCCTAAACCCTAAAACCATAAACCCTAAACCCTGAAACCTGAACCCTAAACCCTAGACCCTAAACCCTAAACCCTAAAACCCTAAAATCATAAACCCTAAAACCTAAACCCTGAACCCTGAACCCTAAACCCTAGACCCTAAACCCTGAACCCTGAAACCTAAACCCTAAACCCTAAACCCTAAACCCTAAACCCTAAACCCTTACTTTACCCAAGACGTGCCTTCCTGCAGCAAGTCGTGCAACGGCGCACACCGCGCCTGAAAGCTTCCCAGAGACTCCAATACCCTTTAATTGAGGACTTAGGGTTTAGGGTTTAGGGGCTTAAGGCGTGTGCCTTACATCATATTAAGGATCCTACTATAATTTAAGGTATACTCCTTAATTAACGGGTATTGGAGTCTCTGGCTGCGCAGGAAGAGGAGTTTAGGGTTTACCTGTAGGGTTTTAGGGCTTAGGGTTTGGGGGTTTTAGGGCTTTGAGTTTAGGGTTTGGGGTTTAGGGGTTAGGGTTTAGGGTTTAGGGGTTTAGGGTTTAGAGTTTAGGGTTTACCTGCTGCTATGGATAATATACCTTTGTAAGGTTTCTTAATCTGATATTTCTGTATAAGTCCTTACAAAGGTAAGTTCTTTGGGGTTACCTTTACCCCAATGCCCTAACCCCTAAAGCCTATACCCTAAACCCTAAACCGCTAAACCCGATGCCTCGCAGGAACGAACCCTTAAACAAAAATCCTCAACGAAACCCGTTAAAGGAACGCCAAACCCTAAACCCTGAACCCTAAGCCCTAAACCCTAAGCCCAACGCCCTGAACCATACACCGCAAACCGTGAGGGTTTAGGGAGGAGTCACAAGGCTACTCATAGCTAATGTAGGGCCCTTACTTACTAGAATAGGGTTTTGGGGGGCAGATAATACTATAACTATATTAAGGAACTCCTAAGATAGGATTGGTAGTTGCTTAGGCCCTAAACCCTAAACCCTTAGGCCCCTATATTAAGAGCGTCCTTTCAGCATGCCTTGAAGGTTCGATGGATTCTGTCGTAGGATCCCTAAACCCTAAACCCTAAACCTTAAACCCTTTAGGGGCTCCTTTAAGGAGTCTCGGAAGGGCCGCACAAGGGTTCGACAAAGGATACCATTCTAGGAGCCTGTTAGGGCCCCTTTACGGGCTTAGGTGTAGGGCCCTGTAGGGCTTCGGGTTTAGGGTTTTAGGGTTTAAGGGTTTTAGGGTTTAGGGTTTTAGGGTTTAGGGTTTGGGGAGCGGTTCTTTGAAATGTTACCTGGTTTCATGAGGGTTTTGCCGGCATGGATATGCGTCTGGGGCCTGAACCATCAGGCGAGCATAAGAGTGCAGTGGTTTAGGGTTTTGACCCCCGAGCCGAATTCTTATATATTAGGTTTAGAGTTTAGGGTTTAGGGTTTCCATATATTACCTTGAAGCTGCAGGCAGGCCTAGGTTTGCCCTGGAATGTCCCTGAAGCAAAGCTTGAACGGGTTTCTCTTCAAACAAAACAGCAACAAAGCTGCAAATGCCACTGCATCCTACCGCTGATTCTCTTCAGCCCAAATAGGAAGAAACATGAACATTTCCGTGGCCTATCGCGACAACGCCACTTGATGTATAGATACTGGACCCTAAATGCCTAAAACCCTAAACCCTAAACCTAAGCCAGTGATCCTGCGCCACAAACTCTGAACCTAAACCCTCAACCCTGAAAGCAAACCCTGAACCCCAAACCCCGAAGGATATAGGGTTTAAGGATTTAGGGTTTAGCGAAACCAAACCCCGAAACCCTCAGTGCCCGGAAAACCGGAGCCACCCACACGGCAAAGAGCTATTCACGCTGCATAAAATCCTGCAGAACCCTCAAAATCTCACGCGAAGCCAAGAAAGAGCCTGTCTGTCTACGTGTCCGTCTGTCCATCTGTCTGTCTATCTAACTATCTGCCTAGCGATCCATCAACCTATCTATCTAACTATATTGAACTATCTATCGATCGATCTATCTACCTATCTATCTAATCAGTCAACCAATCAATCAATCAATCGATCAATCAATCAACTAAACAATCAATCAATCAATCAATCAACCGATCAATCAATCAACCTATCTATCTATCTATCTATCTATCTGTCTATCTATCGATCCATCTACCTATCTATCTTCTTTCCATCTATCTATCGATCTGTCTATTTATCTAGCTATCTATCTGGCAACCTAGCGATCTAGCGATCAATGTATCTATCCATGTGACTGTCTGTCTATCTATCTACTATCTACCTATCGCTCTATCTATGTATCTATCTATCTATCTATCTGTCTATCTATCTATCTATCTATCTATCTATCTATCTGTCTATCTATCTATCTAGCAATCTAGCGATCTAGCGAACAATCTATATATCTATCTATCTGACTGCCTGTCTCTCCATGTATCTATCTACCTACACACATACACACGTACACACATACACTAAGGCATGCGGTCATTCATGCATACATACAGGCATGCACGCCTATATACATGAATACATACATGCATCAATACATACATACATACATGCATACATACATGCATACGTAAATACATACATACGTAATTACATACATACATACATACATACATACATACATACATATATTACATTACATTACATTACAATACCTTACATTACATTAATTTATACATTTTACACTTTACATTTTACATTTTACATTTTACATTACATGACATGACATGACATTACATTACATTACATTACATTACATTACATTACATTACATTACATTACATTACATTACACACGTACATACATACATACATACCT